CCCTGGGGACTTCTGAGATGGGGCCATGTGGGTCACTGAATTTCCTGTTTGACTCTTAGGTTGCACCACTTGGAACTTCTGACGTTTGATCCTCCCAGTGGTGTGTCTGAGGGGGAGGGTCTAGGGTCAGATTGCAGTGCAAGAATCCTCACAAACGTGATTCCCCGGCAACCTAACCATTAGCCCTGCTTCTCTCTCAGCTTGACAGCTTGGATCCTATTAAAGGGGGGGGGGGGCATTGGGCTTAGTTCTTGACATGTCAGAAGAGCCTCATTATGAAGCCTTGAATAAAGTTCCACCCTTTTCCACACCTGCTCTGCCTCCCCAATTCCCCATTACTTTACAGGTCACCCAGAAACAAAACCTCCCAGGGCTTCAGCTCCTTCTTCTTCTTGACACCTCATTGGTCCTTTGGGTCCTTCCATCCCCAACACACTGCCCCTCTCGTTCAGTCCTTCCTTACCTCATCTGGGCAGATGAAGTGCCCTTCTGAGCCATGTCCCTGTCTCCAGGCTCTTCCTCTGCGTTGCACACTTCACTTTGCCTTGGTTGGAGCTCACCCTTCCCTCACACCATTACAGAAAGGCCCGCCATATTCCAGCTTTCTAGCTTTATGTCCCACCACTTCCTTATCCTATGCTTCCGCCCCCACTGTGCTGCACGCTGCTTCTTGAGCAGGCCCTGCATTTGCCATCCCTTTGCTCACACTGTTCCTTTTTCTTGGACTTTACACTGATGGTGATCTGTGTATTGAAGTCTTAACCATTCTGCAGGGACCAGATCGAATGCCATCACATCCATGAAGTCTTTTCTCATTCCCCTCCCAAAGCTGCTATTTTCACTCCTTCTGATAAATCTTAACAACAGTTTGTATCTCTTTTGTAATACTCACTGTGTTCTACCCTGCATGATAGTCATTTGTATGTTTATCTTCGTGAACTTGAAAGCAAGCACTGTATCTTATTCTTTGTGACCACCAAAATAATTTTGCACATAGTAGAGCATCTGCTCAATAAATATTTGTCATATGATATAAATCAATGGATGGGGTGGCGTCAACTACATGGAGACCACAAACATATGTTATTATGGATCTGTGGAATACTTAGAAGACAGGGAGGTGTATAGATCAGCTGTGAAGTGATCACATGTAAGAAGGAGCTTAGGGGTTTTCGATGCCTGTTAGTGACCATGAAGTCAGCCCCTGACTCCTGGGGACCCTATGCTCAAGGCTGTTGTGATCCCCATAGGGTTGCCACTGGCTGACTTTCAAATGCGGATCACCTGTCCCTTCTTCCTGGTCGACTTTATCTGAAAGCTCCTCTCAAGCTTGTTCAGCATCACAGTGACATGCACGCCTGCACTGACAGATGAATGTTGGTTGCATATACGGTGCATTGGCCAGAGGTCCAACCCGGATCTCCTACGTGGAAGGCAGAGATTCTGCTGAGCCACCCCCCC